AATAAAAAATTTATATCTTTATGTTTGAAGCCTGAAATGTGGCAAAAGGTTGAAAAGTTCAAGGGGGCCGAATACTTTCGCAAGGCACTGTATTTATTTCATATGATTACTTTCTTTCATACTGAAACTTTAGAAATGTAACCTCGGGTAGGTCCAAAATAAATATTACATTAGATGACATTATCTTAAGTCTGCACGTTTTGACAGGAAATAATTTCAAGATTTGTAATTTTGTAACAATTTTGTGATAAGAAGGATAATCAGCAGCTGGCGGTATGGGTGAATTCAAGTAAAGTATCCTTGAAATAAGTGATCCAAGTGATCAGTTTGAGTGCACACATACAGAGACCTGATGTTACCAAGTATTATTTGGTGGTGATTGACATTACTGTATGCATCTACAAATTCATCCCTTGGAATCTGAATGGGATTAAGTCTGCAGTTCAACAAACTGAGTGTGTGACATTGGTCCTAGATTGAAACAGAAAATCTTGAGAAACCCTTTCAAGTGCAGACAAATATTATCATATTACATATAATACATGTCATGTTACATACACATATGATCATATTACATTTTACACATATTACATATTACACACACAAATACAAGACCAACACTTATTCCATGACATGATTGTGATGAAGGCTGAAGTTGTTGCTATGCCAAAGCAACCCATTTGGTGGTTCCTCTGAGTCTGGTAATGCTGTCATTGGGTTTGGCTAGGCACACACACTACTATATCTGCTGTTTGATTCTGTTGTTTTTGTTTCAGAAACAGACAAGTAGTTGCAGATTAAAATATTTGCAACAGCACCATTCCTAGAGCTCCCTCTTTATCTGCAGGGGATATGTTTATATGCATATTGCCTATAAAATAGGAGAATTTCTGTCTAAATATATGTTGTTATCTATGTTGTTATCTGTTTTCTCATTTCATGCATAGGGTTTTAAGAAGGACATACAGTAAAATGGGATGTAAACTGATATGTGTACATCATAATCTCAGAATATTATAATCAAATAGATTAATCAGTTAAAAAACAAGGGGTGAAAATGTATTGCAATGTTGCTATATTCATGTTTTAAGTATGTTATATATACAATATATAACGTCATATAAAAATAAAAGCTTCTGATTGGTAAAACAAAGGTGTGTATACTGTACATAGCATATACCATAATTTGCATATAACTATTATGTAAATTAGCCTAATTACACTTACAAGTCACTGAGTGCCACAACATTTTAAATTCTATTACTATCAGCCAGTCTTAAGTCACAAAATCACTGACACAAATGAATTACTTTCCACCAATTTTTGTGCAGGAACTATTCTCTAAAAATTCTACAACAATCACATTTTAAAAAGTACAGGAGTACTTCTACTTTTAGAAGTTGGTTTGGAATTAAAGGTAGTAATTGCTGTAACATTTCATTGATCTGAAATCAGTCCACAAAGCTACTGAATGTACACTCTGAAAAACAGAAAAAGTGGAGTTCAGTTTCATTCTTAAACTCACATCAAAATGGTCTTTCTCCATGTCATTTGAAACACACAAACCAGGATTAAGCACAAGTTATTAGTGCTTAATCCTTTACTTTTGAAATTCCCCTTTCAGTGCAAAATTTAACAGCCAAATGTGTTATTTTAATGAATAATAAATGAAAGGCCATGGTGTATTGGGACTATATAACACTGTGATTGTTACTGGTTTTTAATTATTTTAAATTTGTAAAAATTATTTAAATGTTCTGCTTTCTTTTAAATTGATAATAGTGTTGTAAGTAATATAAACCATTCAGGGCTGTGTGGTTCCAGGGATATATAGCAGGCCTGGGATAGTTAAACTTAAAAGGCAGACCAACCCAGACCTGACGTATATCTCTGGAATATCATGTTTTATACCCAAAGTGTATTTGTCCAACAATAATGTTTTATGTTTCCTTTTCCATAGAACAGAAAACCCTGAACGACACAACTCTAACTTTCATATCTAAAAACTAAGGTTTTCCAAAAGCCATTAAGATTATGTTATATCTTGAAAAATGTATAAGTACATCTTTAGAATAAGTAGTTAAACATGATATACTGTACAGTATTTCCTGATCTAAATTGTATCGAGGGACTTTGCCAATGATTTCACATAATGATAGTTTCCAGCTGGTGCAGCAGCACCGTTGTTCTTGCTGTGAGATACCTGCAGTTCTCCAATATTTATTCGTCCTCTCCAAGGTGAAAAATGGTTTATATCATTGCCACCAGGCACTGACATCACTACTAATCCCTTCCTGCAATATCAACATGGAGAATTGGCCTGACGCAGGTTGGCCTGTGGCAAGAGGAATTTCGAGAAAGTACAGCATCGCTAATGAAAAACAGGGGTAGAATATTGGGCTGATAAATAAGTTCAAGACATGTTCTTTTTATCTTGGATGAAATTCTAGATTTCCATATTAAATTAGAAAGTGTTTGTATAAGAAAATCTGAACATACAATGCCCACAAGATGTTTTATTTGTTTTTATTTTTTGTTGCACAAGAGGGACTCTTGTGTAAAAAAGCAATAGCTTCTGATTGGGTTTGTATTTAAAAACATTTCATCACTGTTATTCCCTATATATTAGCTGCATTACTACTTATTGTAAAAAAAGGCTATTTGTTCTTTTCTGTTGGTACTGTCTATAACTATGTTTTTAAGCAAACATTTTGAACTCATTATCCACATTAAATGGGATTTTGTTGTACCCTAGGTCGATTTCTGCGACTGAAAATGTTCAGAGAAGACCACGGCTCCTGGATGACAATGTTTTTCAGCACAATTCTTTTCTTGTTTATTTTCTCTCACATTTACAATTTGTGCCTCCTGATGGCTGGAAACATGGGGTAAGGAAAGGATTCTTTGACTGTCTCAACTGAGTACTTTGTTTCTAAATGCAAACTTCACAGAAACTGCTTCATTTCTCACTTTTAGCTGTGAGAAGTAATTTTCTCATTAAAACAAAAACATATATGAAGGGACAATAATAAAATAAAAATGCTTCTCCATATTGAAAAATTAGAAATAGTATACATCCTGGTGTGTTGAAGAGTAAATTCAACATATTCTGGACTTTCGAGTATGTGCACAAATGTTTGGTTATCATGTGTTGAAATAACAGCATCAAAAATGCTGTTTAAACCCTTTAAAAATCTTGCGAATACTTCTGAGCTGGACATTTTGTGACTTTTTGTACTTAGAATATAAACCAAGCCAACTAACAATGTACTTAAGAAGTAAAGCAGTCTTTGTTTATAGAAAACACAAACAAATAACACACAGTCTATTGTTAAAAACCTATCCACCCATAGCCTTCAACACCCACATTATGGAGGACTTATCAGAATAGTCCACTGTACACTTTGTGAAAATGATAAAACAATATACAAAAAAGATTAACTAAAAAGACACTTAATTACACATCATACTGATGGTTACAGCAGATAAAATCTGTGGCTTAGAATTGTTTACAATAATAATAATTGCCTACACTTATATAGCGCTTTTCTGGACATTCCACAAAAAGTGCTTTACAGGTAATGGGGACTCCCCTCCACCACCACCAATGCTACCACCTACATATGTAGCATCCACCTACATAGAGCACCAGAGCGCTCATTACACATCAGCTATCAGTGAGGAGGAGAGCAGAGTAATGAAGCCTATTCATAGGGATTATTAGGAGGCTATAATTGGTAAAGGCCAATGGGAAATCTGGCCAGGACGCCAGGGTTACACCCCCACTCTTTTCGAGAAACACCCTGGGATTTTTAATGACCACAGAGAGTCAGGACCTAGGTTTTACGTCTCATCCGAAGGACGGCGCCAGTTCACAGTATAGTGTCCCCATCACTATACTGGGGCATTAGGACCCACATGGACTGAAGGGTGAGCGCCCCCTGCTGGCCCCACTAACAACTCTTCCAGCAGCAACCTTAGTTTTTCCTAGGAGGTCTCCCATCCAGGTACTGACCAGGTTCACACCTGCTTAGCTTCAATGGGTTGCCAGTTGTGAGTTGCAGAGTGATATGGCTTCTGGCTAATACAGAGAATAACCCATTTGATTAACTTGACTGAAAACTATGGGTTGACAACAGTGTTAAAAAGGGTTTGTTGTATACTCATAACTAATATTTGCTAATTCTAGAAAATCAAACAAAACAAAACATCTGAAAAAATGACAAATAAAAAACTTAAAAACTCTTGATGAAATGTATGCTTGAAAAAACCTACTTATCAGTCAAATAATTTTTGCAGATTTATAGGCATTATTTCAATAAGCATTTTATCTTGTTGAAATATCTTCTATCAGTGAGCAGTATACAGATTCTCTGGTGGTCTAGTGACTAGGAGTCAGTGCTTTCATATTTGTATGGGATCAGTTTCTCATGATTTTATTAACTTTGCAGGAGCACAATGGAGTCTGCTTTTTAAAATAATTATTTATGCATTATGATGCATTTGCAAAACTGGATGCTTGGAAAGGAATATTTCAATGTCTTTTTTTTTATTTTCATTTTTACAATGGATAAGTTGAACCTGTTTAATCGGTCCATCACGCATTGTGGTTGTTGCACTGACAGTAACATCCATCACAACATCTTCTGGGTGTTTGCAGATTGGAAATCTATGTCTGAACATTGTGACCAGAAATCACACCTCAGGTTATGATTGGGACAAAATTTATTTTTGTCTAAAAGCCAGTACAATATAGTATCATTGAACTCTGGAAATATTTTTTGTCCAAAAGCCAATAATGAAACATGATAAAAACAGGACTCGTTTGCTTTCAGTACATGCTTATATTTGTATTTCTTTAACATGGTTTTTGCCTTAAAGCTCATATATGTTTCAATAATAGCACTACTGTTGCACATTTTTAAATGCAGTTTTTTGCTTCCACAGATAGTAGTATTCCTTAGATAGTATTCCTGAGAAAATAGGGTCACTGCAAATGGATTGCCTAGATACCATTTCCAAAAGAACAACCATCTGCACAGTGCTATTTAAACAGTAAAATGAAGAATCACAATATTACAAAACAGTTAATGATAATCTACATATATATTCTGCAATGACACTGTGCTTCATTAATTGTCATTTCATTAATGATCTGCTGCAAACAGCATTTTTGTAGCATTTTTGGGGGCTTGTTATTTCTGATGAACCACCCAAGAGCACTCTAGTATATTAATTCAATGCAAAGAAAGCTTGCACTAATTTTTTTTAAGTATCTTTAAAAGTTGTGAGCCACATTTTGTGTCTATGTTATCAATTTAACTGGCAATGAATACAAGGATCCCAAATGCAGCTGTAGACTGCTTGGAATGTGGTATATCATGGGGTGTGATTATCAGGGAGGCGGGGCTCTTGTTAGAGAAGCATGCATTGCTTTGGCCACAGCTGTAAGGCAGTCTGTAAACTAATAATACACAGCTGTGGTCATGCCTAAAAGAGTAGTCTGCATACTTTCCTGTGAGGGGGAACGGTTGGGCCGTTGGTACATCGGTCCATCGGCCCCATCAGTCTAATATGCATGAAAGCAGACTTGGCACAGAGTGAGTGAGGGCTGGTGTCTGTAGATTTATGTGTCTGCCTAACTCATGTGGTACAGCAGTGGCTGGACTGAAACAGTGAGAGGGAGAAAAGAGGTCATTGTATCTTAGTCACGATGGCAAGGCTGGTCACAATAGAGCTGTGCTGGGAGCTGTGACGTATGTGAGTAATGTGTGAATGGAAGTTCAGAGTGCATTAGAGGGGTCCTTGGTTTTGCAAAATGAGGTGTTAGGGAGGTGATTCTCTCTTTTGGTTGCATTTCTTTGGCAAAATATGAGTTGTACCTGAAAGTGACTAGTGTACATAACCAAACCAGTGGTGAGGTTCACTGAGTCTGGGTTTGGGCAAGACTCAGGGACATGATTTTAACCTCAAAGAAGCTGACCTCAGAAGAAGCCGTAAAAAGGACTAAGGTGTGTATGAGTAGGGGCTCTGAGCCTGAGAGTTTGCAAGCAGAGGGCTCAGAGTAAATGTAGCATGTGAGTTGCCCAGATGAGTAGGCCACATAACAAAACCACTTTTGGAGGAGTGTGTGTAAGTTGTGGTAAAGAGTGAAAAAATTCCCCATCAGGCTGTGAAGGGTGTGTCAGGCACTGTGAACACACCTGTATTTTGCCCTAAAGTAATGGCCATGGCCTTGGAGTCACTGCAATACTCTAATTTATTAAGATAAGACTGCGTATAAGATGCAGTTAGTTTTCATTCTTGGTAAACATTACTTCAGTTGTTTGAAGTATGAAAAATACTTGATGGGAAAGATAGGTGGCACTGTGACTAAAATATTCACAGAAATGTTTTATGGCAATCAGATTCCATTCATTTTGTTTTGCAAGCAGCAATTTGGAAATCTTTGGCTGCAAACAGTTTACTACTTTTAGATTCTTTTCATGAAGGTATAAATGGTTGATAAAGAAGGAAATGGTTTTGGAAGTAGATAAGGCATCTGCTGCAATTAATTAGTGTTGACATTGCTGCTGGTATCAAGTCTAGTGAATACCTGTATTTGCAACTTTCTGGGATGCATTCCAAAAGAATCAGTCAGGTAATGAATGAAACAAGCTACTTTTAAAAAATTGGAATGGCAGAAGAATTCCTGCAAAGGTCATGCAGCAAACTGCTTCAGCATTCATATTCAATTAATATTAATCTTTTATCTTCCAGGGTAAAGACAAAATGACTCTATTGAAGGTGTTTATTACTGCTCTGTGTATGTTAATCTTAATTTGTGCATGTTCTTGTACTTCATGGCTTGTTTTCTGTTCAGTACTTTTCCCGCATGCACATGTTAATCTGTGTTCTTAGGTTTGAAATTAAGAGTTTAACTTTCATGCGTTCCTTTTTGAAAAACTTTTGAAAATGAAATTCTTAACATTTGCCTCTTCAAACAAGTCTAATACGTTATTAGACAATTTGTCTATGTTTATAAACAATGATATGCCATTTCCTGTAGCATGCTAGTGATCTGATGGTTTGAATTTACTGAAACAACTAGAAATGGGACACTATATGGCTTCTGGAAATCAATCATTCAGAACAACAGAGACCTACACAGATTAAAATAATAAAATATAAGTACATCTAAATCAATGCATTTGATGTGATACAAACAGCTGATCAATCACTCAGGGATTACAAAATAAATTAATAATAACAGGGTTAAACACTCTGTTTTATGTAGTACCTCTTAATTATGTCAATAACCAAATGCTTAAAAGACAAGTACTTGTTTAGAAGAAGAGCTGAATTTTCAAGGGTTGTGATGTGACCAATTAATTTATTGTCATTATAATCAGGTGCTTGGCCGGGTGCAGTCCAAAAGAGATTTACAGTGGAGATAGGAATGATGAATTGGGTTGCAGCATGTTCAGTCTTTGTCTGCTTTGTGCCAAAGGATGTCCAACTGTCACGGAAGAAGAAGAGAGAAGGAATCTGCATAGACCAGCAGTAAAGATGGCTCCCCAAACAGAACATGCATTAAGTCTTAGGACTTGGGGATATGGCTGCAGGTCAACACTTGCCTGTATTTTGTAGTTGCTGCTTTGAATATCCCATGATTTTCAGTAATGTTGACAAATGTCCAACTGTATTATTTCAGTGATCAAAAGAAATTAAATGTAGGAGATTGGCACAAAACGTCTCTTGTTGCAGAATTCTGTTTACAAATGGACGACTAGCAATTTCTTCAGCTAATTCCTGTTATGGTTCATACAGTGGTGGTTACAGTGATTATTTCACTACCAGGATATTAAGGTTGTAAGAGAAGTTGAAGTATTTTATTATTAATAATGGACACATCTGCTTGTCTTCATTGAGTTGAAAAGGCTGTGGTCTAGTGAACATTTTTGGTCTTTGAACAGGGTTTGTAAGGCATCAAATTACTGAGAGATAAACACTTCTGGGATTAATTGACTCATTAAAAGCAGAGATTGAAATTAATGTGTATCACATATACTGTATAAGGGTGACTTCCACTGCTTGGGATAGTTTTGGGGTCCATTTGGGGAAACTTTAACCAAAGCTTTGCAATTTTGTTTGTGAAGATCACTAGTCATAAAACAACATTGAAGACAGTGATTCTCCTAATATTGCCAATTGGATATGCTCTTGATAAACCTATAATCAAGAAGAATTAGGCTGTAAAACACCTGTAAGCTCTGTCAGTAAAAGATGACAGTTTTCTCCTAAATTAGGGATTTAAAATAATAGGTCTATAGTTACTGAAATATATTTCAGGTAAAAGCAGAAATCTGTTACATTTCCTTAGGGCTCTGAATTTATAACTGTAAGGCTGTAGATTTAACCCCAGGCAAGACACTGCTATCTCTGTGATTGGTACTTTCCACAGATTCCTGCTATGGCATACTCACCTGAATAAATGGATACTCAAGTATTCTTTGGATAAAAATATGAACCCAATAAGTAAATAAATATCATATAGCCATGTCAGATTTTCTTCCAATCCTTACTTTAGAATTTAAAAATCCTCTTCTATCTATTGCTCAGTTAAATTAATTTAAATAAACATTTTTTAGTTTCCTATTGTTTAACAACAAAGAATACCCTTTGATCAGCCAGAAAACACATTATATTGTGTATGTCCTGTCTTTGTAGCTTATAATTGAAAAGCAACAGTGAATTCAGATCTTTAATTTGTGAATTGCTTCAAAGAGAAAATGTATTTTAATATACACAATATGAGAAAATTGCTGATGTACTGTACAATAGTTGACTCATGATTAATGCGTCAAGAAACAAGTCTTGAAATTATTAATTAAATTTATTGCAATTTTACACTTTGTGTCCTTTTTGGTAATTTTTAGTTAAATATATATACTGTATGAACTTTACTGTTCAATGGTGGTGCTGTCTCAAAGTTCATGGGTCCTGTGCTCAGATCTGGAGTGGACTATGTTCTTCAAATATTTGTGTGGGCTTTTGCCAGGTGCTCCAGTTTATTCTCACCAATTTCTCAATATTTGTTCCATTAGAATGTCAGAATCATTGTTTTCTTTCTTATAGCTTTTTTCTTGATTGATTAGTAGAGGCTGAAATTCTTACCTTTAGCATGATTTTCTTTTCAGAACAGCTCCTTTGTGTGTCTTTGAACCTCCACTGTGTATTGACCCCTTTTGTAATGGTTTTATCTCACCTCACTACTCCCAGAGCCCGTGTCATTCTTTCAAAGGCCATTTCCCTCATATTGCAGACCGATGTTATTGCTGTACCTCCTTTATAGTGGGAGAAAAAAAAAGATTTGACGTAATAGCATTGTAGTTACCGTACTCAGTCTCTTTTTATTTCCACTAACTTTATTATGTTTGTTGGAGAAAAATACTAAATAGTGCACAATATGGAAACATTACCCTGTGTTAACGCCTTCACAAACTGGTTGGGTAATCAGTTGGTTGAACAACGCATTAGTTAAATATCAATATTCCCTTCTTTCTCCTTTGCTTTGCCCACCATTCACACTGTCTTCTATTTTTACTCAAATCTCAAAGTCTCTAAACGAACAATTAAAAGGAACCACGGCACTTGTAATTTAAGTACTTTAATTTTAAATATTCATGGGAAATGAAAACGAAATGGTCTTAAGGAAATTTGAAAGCAGGAATACTGTTGCATGGTTGCATGGTATTTCCAAAACACTCAAGCAGAGCTCTGAAGCTCTATTACATGTGAGAATCTCTCAGTGGAATTTAGTCCTTGTAACACTATGAAGACTGTTTATTATATATAATACATAATATATTCCACACATGTTAATTTATACCACATCTGGGACATTTGCATTTTAATTTAACCATCAGATTAGGGCTGTTTGGACTAAACCACAATCATGTTGCCACCCTGGGAGACATGCACTTTCAGTTGCATTTAAGTTTCTCCATGGAAGGTTTTCCTGACAACTCTAAGTGCCATTATCAGCATAAATCACATACTAATTAACCACTGTTATTTAATTAAGACCATCCATTTTATGGCCCACTCATTAATCATGCCCAATTTAGAGTATGCCTTCTGTTCTGCGAAATTGTCTTGCTCTGCTGGGATTAGTTTCAAGCTGAGCATCGCAGCTGCAACAGAGCTTTATGTTCATCCTTTGTCACAGTTCCATGCAGCAGGATAACATTTCAGCTAGATGATGACTACAGCCATTAGTATTAAATTTTAAAATGGATTAAATGATGCTTAAGAACATTGTCTCTAATAAACATAATCCCTTTATTCACTGCCATTTAAATACAGTGCGTCCTTGCTTGTTTTGTATTGAAAAATTAGATGGATTTGTATAAATATCTCTTGCTTTTTCCTAAAAAGACTAAATGTAGAATGCTGCATTACTTTTGTTTCTCTCAACATAATGCTTTTGTAAATTATTGCTAGAACTTTTTTGAAGATTGAGATTTTGATTATTCAAATCTATTCTTGATAATTAGTGTTCAATGCTAAAAAGTATTTGTCCTGGAAAAATATGATGAACATCAAAAGAAATAATCATTTAAACATTTTATTAAATAGATATTACAATGGGGGGTGGCACAGTGGCGCAGTGGTTATCATTGCTGCCTCACACTGCTTGGGTCCTAGATTCAATTCCTGGGTGCTGTCTATGTGAAATTTGAATGTTTGAATGTTTACATGGATTAGCTGTGGGTGTTATGCTTTCCTCCTACAGTCCCAAAACATACTGCACAGGTATGATAATCGGCTTTTGGGAAAATTGGCCTTGGTGTGAGTGTTTGCATGTTTGTGTCTGTGTGTGCCTTGCAATGGACTGGCATGTGATGGACTAGATGGAATATCACCCCTAAATTCTTCAAATTAGATTGAAATTATAGCACAGTGCCATTCACAGATATGGTTACTGCATTGGCTTTATTTAGGTGACAGGAGGTTCAGAGTAGCATAACCTCAGTCTTCTTGCTGTGAGAGAACGTCTGAGTCACGCAGGTTTTTATAAAAGAGGGGTAATTCTGAAGTGCAGAGACAGCTGCTTCAATGTCAGGTTTAGTATGGACATAGAAAATGATATCTTAGACCTTGTTATTTTAATGTCAGACCAACTGGGAACAAGTAGATCCTGAATAGCAGGAGGCCCAGTAGTGAGCCATGGGAATACAAAATTCAACAAACCAACTTCAGAACTAAAATCCCAAAGAAAAACAATAAAGAAGATAAAAGTTGAACCTTTTAAGAGCAATGTCAGAAACCCCAAACAAGGTTACAACATGGTAGAGTAAAATGTCATTCTTTACAGTGTGTAAAGCAGCACTTACTGTATGTCTAAGAGAATTAGAATACAATGGAATCAGCTGCCATTGGAAGATTGTTAGTAATTTTAACAAGAGTGGTTTCTATTCCATGTAATTGTCTGAAACTTAATTGGAAGGGTTCAAAGAGGTAATTTGCGATGAGGTGACTGTTAAATTGTATTGCACTTGCAAAGCATGTTCTAAAATTTTTGCAAAAAAGGCAAAATTAAGCTTGTTCGGATAAATATCATGGCAGTACTCAAAGTTAAATTTGAAATTAATGCACGTTTCAGTGATTGCACACCTTACTAGAATTATGGTGAAATCTGAGACAAAATTACAAAAATGGGTAAAATCCAAGATCAGAGGATTGTGAGCAGTTTGAAGAAAACCTTGAAACAGCACCAAAGTACAACAGAGAGGTAGAGAGCAGTGGTATCCCAATTGCAGAGAATAAGCAATAATACAGATAAAAAAGTAAGCTAAACCAGAAAGAGGAGTGGTAGTCAAATGTACCAGTTTTCCCCATTAACCAGAAGCTAGAATCAATTAGATGCAAGTAAAGCAAATGGAAATTGAATGGATATATATTGTAATATTATGCTACTGAGGAGAAACTAGGAGTGTGATTCAAGGATGTATGAAGGATCCCACTTGCTGGACGAAAAGCCTACTGAGTTGCAGAGCCTTCAAACAACATACAAGGAACACCCAGAGCTGCACATCACTGAGACCAGAGAGATCTGGAAACACAAACTTTGGAGAGTAGAACTTTGATGACAATTCAACAGCAGGGCAATGACCCAGTGTGCAAGGATTACACCACAGTGCAGTGATTTAACCACAAAAAGAAGCAAACGTTTTGCGAGCTCACTGTTCAAAGTCCTGGTTTCGATCTTATAAAAAATCTGAAGCAAGACTTGAAAATTGCTGTGCATCAGTGACCTTTCCAAGCCAGTGCTTGAGCAAAGAAAAAGGGCAAACATTGTACATTCCCAATGTGCAAAGCTATCAGCTGACTTATCTAAAAAACACCTCCTGCCAAAGGTGCTTCCACCACACTGAGGCAGGTGAATATTTAAGTGATCACCATATTGTAACGCTATGAGGTTCACGTGGTTCATGCGCCCTCGCCTCTGCCACCTCAGGTCAGCCCCCCACCATCAGAGACTCGAACCTAGGCCTCTGGCGTTACTCAACAGGGACCCAACCACTTGAGCCGAAGGGAAATCTCCCGTCAGCCCAGCAGCTGCGGTCCCTGCTATTCATAGAGAAGGGCGGTG